CACCTCAATGGGTTTGGGGTTTTCAGTTGCAATGCGCTCTTGGCTATTGCTATGTTACCATAAATTAGCAATTACAGATAGTCATATTTTGGGGAAAGAAGCATAACATTTCTTTTATACACATAAATTGGAGAAGACAGATCTTCAGAAACACAAACTGTGTTCTTTGTATTATATGTATTATTTCAAACCTTGAATCCACTGCACTGGTCAAATTATTCGATTGAAATGAAATGCATTTTTTGTTTGTTTTTTTAAATGCATTTTTAATGCTGAATTATTTCATCTGAAATTGATTATATCTTCCACTTTTAGTAAGCATAATGTAGATATTTACTATTGAGCTTTTGCTATAGCAAAGAGGCGTGGTGGTGTAATAGGTGACAAGTTAGGCTGTCAATCACAAGGTCAGCAGTTTGAAACCACCAGTCTCTCTGTGAGAGAAAGATGATGCTTTCTAGTCCCATAAAGAGCTACTCTCTTGGAAACCTACAAGGGCAGTAGAACTGTCCTATAGGGTCCTATAGGGTCACTATGAGTTGGAATTAATTTGATGGAAGTGAGTTTGTTATTGTTACAATAATATATAGCAACACACTATTGTTCAACTGATAAGAAACATCAAACCTATGTTATATTCAGAATCTAAGACTGTTACATGAATGTAACGAAGGAAAGACAAAATGAAATTGTAGGATAATATTTATAAGCAGTGACTAGCCAGGAAGCATCCATGAGTGGCTCAAATCGTTAAGCACTGGGTTACTAGCTGAAAGGTTGATGATTCAAACCCACCCAGAGGTGGCTCAGAAGACGGGCCTGACGATCGGATTCGTGAAAGGTCACATCCTGGACATCCCTATAGACTCCTTCTACTCTGCACACACGGGATCACCAGGAGTTCAAATCAACTTGACGGCAGCTAGCCACAACAATAATTTAGGAAAGATCTAGTCCTTTATATTGCTGCTATTTCATGATTTAGAATTTAAATGTAATGCAAAATAAATCAGAGCCAGTTTATGACTACAAGTGCAAAAGGATTTGTGGGAATAGAAAAGAAGAAACATGTTTGTTAATGGGATTTGACAGTACGGTTAAACTTGCTCTGTCCTAACTGTGAAAACAAATGGTTAGAGATGCAGATCCTTGGTAAACCTACAATTATAACACCAGTTTGTTATTTCAGAATTACCTAGACACTGTTAAATCCCTGTGCCCAAGGTGTGGATCATCCTTTCTGTAGTCCTCATCAGCTAGTCTGTGGTCCACCTGAGTAGATTTCAGGTACAGGCACTGGTAATGTTCCAGCATCTAATCTGTGTGTTTTCTGTATTGGTTATTTTATGAGACATGAAGCATTTATTTGAATTTAGAGGAAACCCATTTTCCCACTTTATATGGCTCATAGTTGTCTTAAAATTTGTGTTCATTTTTGCCTTTGATGTGCTGTGGCAAGAGAAAGACCTCTTCCTTCAGATATGATGGGAAATGTAATTTTTCCACTCATTCAACTAACATTGGATGCCTACAGAGTATGTTAATGTGCGTGCCCTGATATGTTTGGGCTAGAAAGGAAGAATCTACTTCCTTAGAAATTGTCTAGTAACGTTTGCTGCGTCCGAAAACCACAGGCCATGTGAGGTCACGTAGAGCTTGGAGGTCACGTAGAGGTCAGAATGTCCTCCAAGGACAGTTTTGGTGGGTGACATCCAAGTGTCATGTTCTGATTTCTGAGCTTCTTTTCCCTGGTATTGTAAATCACGAGGCATTGAATCAGCATCTCGGCACAATACTTATCAAATCTCTCTGCTTATACAATCATTGACCGATGATGGAAAGGCACCGATATTTCTGCCCTATACCGGCTTTATGTTGGTGGAATATAAGGGATAGGCATTATTCACATGGGCCTGAGCAGGCCAACTCAACTATTCAGTCACACACAAGCCTGTGCTTACAATGGTCCCTGTGCTTTATTTAATCCTCTGCGCTCACTGTTTTGAAATTCTCAATAATCCATGAACAAGAGGCCCTACACTTTCATTTTGCACTGGGCCTTGCAAAGTAAAACTGGTCCTGCCTGCACAGCAGTTGGTCCTGGCTATGGTAGTCAGCCGCATGTCCTCCAATCATACTCTGTCAGCATGGCCAATTCGGTAAGAAGAAAATATGCACGCCAAACCCCTTACATTCTTTTCCTCATTCATTTTTCCCATTCAATAATTTAACAATTAACGTCTAAAACGTTGCTTCTTGTGGCACTTTTATGATTTAATTTTCAGCCAAGACATAAGAAACATTTGATGTACTTCCACTCACACAATGTTTATGATGTTGAACTTAAGCTTATTTCAGACTAATCCAAAGTTAGCAGTATTGGCTTTATACCTTTCTCTCTCTTTTTTAGACAGTTGCTTTAACTACTTGGCTTACATTTCTTTAAAGCATAATTTGGTAGGAGTTTAAATTGAAATGTTTTCCCATTTTTATCATGTATGGCAGGCAGCTTTTTGCCCCCCCAACTCCCCCACCCCATGCTGAGAAATCTAGCTTTAGGTTATATAAATTGAGGAACTCCTCTTGTGGTAGTGGGATTAAATAAAATATTTCAGCTGGAATATGTGGAATTAAAATATCTAAAAATAATACCCATCATCACTCATTGATGAGTCTTAGAATATAGTTTCTAGCTTCTTTGGTACGACTCAGAATATTCAATTTTACTGCTATTGTGGGGTCTCCTTTGTGACCCAAAGGTAAATGGTATTTCCATTCTTTTAAGCCATTGGAAAAGTGCTTGGTGTTTGCTCACTGGCTTTTAAAGTTGGGCCCCCAAACTTTTCCTTTTAGATATACTGAAGGCGGAAAAATCAAAGGGCTCACATTCCTTTGTTCTCATGCAAGCCCACAATTAGCTGAATCCCCATTCTGTGCAGCTAGACGGAGGAGGCAAGGGATGGCCTAACAGACATTTTACTGCCTTTGAGAAAGTGCTCAGGGATTTTCTTTGTCCATTTTGTCAGGGAAGGCTGCCTCTCTAATTGTCCTGCTGTAGAGGAGCATGTGCCCCTGGGAGCATTATCTGATTTCTCCAGGACAATCAAGAGTGCTTTGTATACTGACCCTTAATTTGAACACAAATATCTTTTCAATCCCTTCTCTCGCTGTTGCCTCAGGCGTGGACACCTAAAAGCTTTGGTTCAACCAGGGATGGACACTTGTAGGAGCCTCAGGTTTTGCTTTTTTCCTCCCTTAGATGTCTCACCTGCGTTTTGTGTTTTGTTTTGTAAAAGCACCTGTCTGGAGAGGAAGCTGAGAGTGGAGGATAGAGAGGAATAGGACTTGAAGAAGTTAGAGGGGAGAGAAGGCGAGACTAACAGCTGTTCTTGTCAGCATGGGGATAAGTGTAAAGAGATTAATAGTTGTTTGAAGAGCAAATGGGGACATGGCATTGGGCGATGGAATGTGAATGTATAAATGTAATGGAATGAGCATGCGGCCGTTAACATTTAGACAGATGGTCTCTGGACTGAATGGAATGATGGTTGGGGGTGTGTGTGTCTACGCTCTCATGTAAAATAATGAGAGCTTAATGAAATAATTCTATGAAACTTAAAGGCTAATCAAAAAATAGTCTCAAACCCCTATACATTTCCCTGGGAGTTTATTCACCTTGACTTCAATCAGTTTGTGATTCGCAAAGTTTTATTTGGATTGAAGACCCAGACTTCGTGTTTTCTTACTGTATGTAAGGGCAGCGCGGAGGCCTGCTTCCTCTTCTTTCTCTCTCCCGCTCCCATTTTGCTACCTCGAGGAGACAATGAGATTCCCATGTGTCTAAAATATTACAAAGGAAAACCTCGTCAGAGCAGGCTTGCCCCTCCTGAAACAGTGTGGAAGTTGGCTCTGACTGAGGAATGATTACCCGATCAGGCTTCTGGTCGTGAAGTAGAACCCGCAATCTGGAGTCAGACGATTTGGTTTCAAAATCTCCACTTTTTTTGTACTTGCCAATGTTGCAGCAAACGTCTTCCTCTCCCTGACTACATGGGAAAACCTGAATTCGTTTTCCTATAACCGTGAGCACCTCTTCTGTGCTCAGGTCTAATCACAGAAGATTTGCTAGTGATGGCAACTCGCAGCAACAAGACAGAAGAGGGCTTTACCGCTGCCTGTGTGTGTTTCAAAGCCTGTGACTCTTCAGAGAGTAGAAAGTCCCATCGTTCTCCATCAGCGTGATGGGGGGTTCATATTGCTGACCTAGGGAGTCACAGCCTATTGCGTAACCACTACGCCACCAAGGCTGCTTTGGCGGAAGAAGCTACACAAACTGCTATGATTCTGAATTATACCGAGGACTGGCCATTCTACATAGTCTACTTCTTAAATTCTACTTCAGAAAATAATAACTGGCTACAAAGAAAATGGAAATGAATTAAAGATTTGAGCATATTAGGATGTGATACTCGCATATTGCCTTTAACATATATAATTGTCTCTCCCATAGCCCTATGCCCAAGGATGACACCCTCCCTCAAGTACTTATCAAATTATTTCTTGGGGGAGACTACTGGTGTCCTAGCACCTAATTCAGGATTGCAGGACTGGAGAGAAATTTGGAGGCCATTTGATTTCCCTTCATATACCACAATTTGATGGTGAAATTCCGTCCAGAACATGTCTATTACACATCTTTCCTTTTCTGCCTCCTGTTTCAGGAAGAACAAAAAATGGTTTGTCAGGATGCTTAGGCTACTTTCAATAGCTTTTGAGGAGATCACGTCCCGAATCTCAAAAGAAAAACCTCACATGATAGCAGTGGGATCTTTGGGGGGTTCGTTTTAAACCCCCCCCTTTTCCCCTTTTTTTCGGGTTTTTTTTCTTCCAAGGGGGGGGGTTTACGTTGGATGTGAATGCATGTACCAAATGATACCTTTTTCTCAGCGTAACCCACTGTGCTTGAATTGCTAACATTAAGGTTTGTGCGTGTCCTGCAGCCACAGTACACAAACCTGGGGCTCCTGAACAGCATGGACCAACAGATACAGAACGGCTCCTCGTCGACCAGCCCCTACAACACAGACCATGCGCAGAACAGCGTGACGGCACCCTCGCCCTACGCGCAGCCCAGCTCCACCTTCGACGCCCTCTCACCATCGCCCGCCATCCCCTCCAACACAGACTACCCAGGCCCGCACAGCTTCGACGTGTCCTTCCAGCAGTCCAGCACAGCCAAGTCGGCCACCTGGACGGTAAGAACATAGGCCACTCGAAACGGTCATTCTGCACTGTCCAAGGGGCCAAGGATCCCCTGATTTTTCTCGTGTACAAAACCAAAACTGTTTAAAATGATAAAAGGTTTCTCCTCCTCACTTCCCAAAGACGCCTTTTTCCTTTTGAATATTTAACCTTGAACCAAAGTGGGGGTGTGGAGAGAGAGAACCCATCCGTCTCAGCCAGTGGGTCCCTGCCTGCTTCACACTGCTGTGAGCTCCGGTGTGTGAACATAGCAGGGAATGGGCAGCGCGGTGGCATTAGAAGCGACAGAATCTTGGATAGTTTTAAAAGTCCCAGAATACGAGGTATTATCCCGTCTTGTTATTTTGAAGAAATAAATATCACATTATGGTGTGATAAACTAAACCAGCCCATTCACGAGGGAAGGCTTTTTAAAGGCATCACTGTGTGTGTATATGTGTTACATTTAGAAACCCTGTTTCTCCCCAAAATAAGTGTATACATTTACATATCAGGGCACTGAACAAATCCAGAGATTCTGCCTGAAAAAGGACAACCAAAACTTTACACACATAATTTAATAACTTGTAAGAAGACTTGGCATTTGTTTAAAAATGTTAAAGGTACGAGATTGTTTATTCTATTTCACAGTATATTTACATGCATGTATGTGTCTGTATATGTATGTATGCATGAATGAAACTCAAATATAAGGGCAGAGAGATTTAAAAAATCAGATAAAGTTGATCAATCCAACAGTAAGATGAAAGTGGCATGTATGTTGGTCATATGGTTTGATGTGTTACAGAAACACTTCCTAATATCATGTCTTGTGGAAAAATAGCTTTAGAATTTAACTTACCACTCTCTTCCCCACCATTGACAAATAGGTTTCTATGAAAAGCATTTCTATTTTTATGCTATACTGGCAGTTGTTGGGTTATGAATGGAATCTATCCCTAATTATCTTTCAATGGAATTTATAGATGAATTAGAGGTGGGTGAATCAGTTCTTATTTAGTCATCCTGTAGTGCAAGGTAGGAACCTTGGTGGCGCAGAGGGTTAAGCAGTGGGCTTCTACTTGCAAGGTTGAAGGTTCAAACCTACCAGCTGCTTCATGTGGGAAAAAAATGAGGCTGTCTAGTCTCTTAATGATTCACAGTCTCAGAAACCGCATATTCTCTCTGAGTTGGGACGCATTGGATGGCTTTGGGGTTGGGTTTGGTTCTGATGATGCAGAGGTAAAAACTGTTAGATCTCACCAGCTGTTCTGTTGGCCAAAGTTGGGGTACTATGCTACTGCAAAGGTTATGGGCGTGCAAAGTCCAGGAAGCAGTTGGAATCCACACAAGAGCAATGGTGGGTATGTTAGCATAAAGTAAGGGCTCGAAGTCTTTTCAATGATTTAGAAGCCGGCCATGCAGCAAGGGAAAGTGGTTGTGATGAAAGATTTCTTGGGAGTAGAGGTTGGTTCATTCTTTTCAAAATGAAAGCAAATTTACATAATATTAAAGGGCAAGTGGGAATTGTCCATAAATTCATTAAATTTGTAACCCAGGAACTGCCTGTATAAAGTACCAGTTTAGTCCTGTCATAGAAGACATTTTATGTCGAGAGTACACTGCACCTATCACAGCAATCTACGCATTTTACAGCAATGACCCCCCCACACTGGAAGCAACAAAAATATCTGCCCTATGGGAGAGGCCACATTTATTACATAACCTCTGGTAATTCTGTAAAAACTTTCACTAACCGTATCTTAGCACTTTATCACTTATAGTCCTTTTTTATGGAATTTTCCCTTTTCATTTTTCTTCTATTTTCTCTGTATATTAAATAACAAATATGATTGGGTTCACAGTTCTAAAAACATATTGAATTCATTTTAAATTACTCCAAATGAAATAATATGATAATATTTTTTTCATATTCTCTATTTCACCAACACATACAAGCACATAATCTAAATCCTGAGTTTAGAATTTAGTTTCCAATGTTCTTATAACCTCAAAATCCTTTATACTACTTATGAAGATCTGCCATTTAATAGGATGTTGTGGGTTGGGATTGTAGTTGGCTGTCATTGGCCAATTAGGGGATGGATTGATGCAGTGGCTGCAACAATGGCCTCATCACCGTAACAACTGAGAATGATACAGGGCCAGGCAGTATTTTCTTCTCTTGCGCATGAGGTTTCTATGAATGGGAACCGGCTGGCTGCCTACGTAACAACAACAACGGCAGCAGCAGCAATAGCCACAAGCATCTGAAAGGTGGTTTGAAAATGGTAAGTTCAAATGTCAACCATGGAGACTGGCTGCAGCCTGTGTGACCTTCCCAAAGAATTCAGTCTCTCTGAGCGTCTCTTTCTTCACCTAGAATAGAGATGTTAATACTGTCTTACACATGGGGATCCCATGGCTATGCAGAAGACACACCTGTCAGTGCCTGGCTGGACACACAGTGTGCGGCAGGCACACAGCATTTATCCATTCTGAATTTGGAATCTTTTTGTTTCCAGACATTAATTTATTACAGTTTTGTTGAAAGGTCAATTATATAATATGTAATGATTTGGGACAATGAAAGGCAACAAGTCTACTACTTTAAAAAGACTGCTTTGGGGCCACTAGCATGCAGACTCCAGGCCTAAGGGATTCTGATTGTATCCACTATCTAAATATGTACTCTAGTAGATGACAGGAGGCGATTAGAGGCGCTCACAAAGCAGAGCTCTGAAGGCTGCTGTGTTGCTTTTCCGCCCTGCCTAAGCACCCACACTAGCTCTCCTTGTCAGCACAAGGACAGTGCCCTTCCAAAATTAAGGATCTGTTGGCTTTTGCCATGTGTTCTTTATTTTTAACCTGGAGTTGGCTTTTTATATTCCTTGTGATAAACAAAGCCGAACAGTGGGCCCCACTTGTAGCAGAACTCGCATAGTCATGTGTCGTGTGCGTGTTATGGAAACAACCCAACCACTCACTCCCTGGGACCTTAGCAGATAGATTGTGGGCTGGCCATGTCCCAAAACATCATATAGCCCGTAACAGAAACAGCATGAACGGATGGAGACTGCCTTTAGAGTGCTGGTGAGGCAAAAATAGCTCTCTGTGACACCTCCTTGAGAATTGAGTTCACAGTACCAAGCACCATCACTGGGTGGAACATGTGATTGTGTTATTGTTGTTAGGCTCAACACAGGTGGTGAGAGCTCTCTGGGAATAGGAGTCCACTGGCCCTGATTCTGGGCTCCACTCCCCTAACCGGTGGCACACTCAAGGCTCTGGCAGAATCCCCGGGTTGGTTTTATTTACTGTGTTCTATCTGAGGTCACGGCCTAGTCGATCGGACGTGTGATCACATTGTGCCGTACCCTGACCCAGTGCCCTGCCCAATCTTCAGCCAGGGGGCCTGAGTGAACGTTAAGAAACGTGTTTTTGTTTTCTCTTCTCAGAAGAGGAAACAGTGATAGCTCTCAAGCTGACCCTGCTGGTTCACTGCCTTGTGAATCTGGGCCTTCTTGTGTCTACCAGGATTTAGGAAGAGCCTTATTCCTCACCCGTTTCCTCATCAAGCCTTGGGTTGTGTATGGAACTGTGAAGAATCTGATTGGAGAAAGTGAAGAGATTAGGGAGGTGGCATTGGCAGGGGAACAGCCAGTTCCCGGGAGCATTTCATTGATTCCAACATATCATCCTCTTGCAAGCTCTCTCCTTTTGGCTTTGGGGCACGCTGTGGGCCCATGGCCCACCCCCACGGTCATCGGGTTACCTGTAATGTAAGCCTGCCAAAATAATACTGCCGGCTCTGCAGAAATCCAATGCAAGCCAGCTCATTGCACGGTCCTCTGGAATCCCGAGCCTTTCAAGAATAGCCCATCCAAAGGACATGGTGTACAGAGACGCTCTTCAATGACGAAGGTGGTTTGCCAGCTTCCTTTCACAGAGGAAGCGTTTTCTCCCTTCAAAGTGGGCCCTAAATGAGGTGGCTGTACCCCTATGATTGTGATATTTTCGATTTCACTGGAGACTTGTCCCCTGCCAGGGACACATGTGGTGACACTCAAAACAAAGTGCTTTTCTCCTCTTCTCCTAGCTGCCCCATGAATCAGCTGAGGTCTACAGAGGGGTGCTCTTTTGTACCCCTTCCACGATGATAAAATTAGAGCATGGGGCACATTAACCATAACCTAATTCACAGAGTTTTAAAGGCGAATGCGATAAGGTGCCTGGAGATTTTTGGTGATCGCTTAAAATACATACCTAACTTAAGGTTTTGGATTTTAAAGTGAGTGTCGAAGTTAAGGTTTGTGCAGAGGGGCTACCCATAGGCCAATGAGTATAACCTAATCAGAGGCTTTTCTTATTTGTTCAGAGTGACTCTCATGTGTTTGTACAAGCCGATTTTACTTAATGTAATGCTTGTCACTCTCCCACATCCTCCGGAGGGCTTTACTGAGTGCGTTCTAGCATTCCCATGTGCAAGAAAAATCTTCAGCTGCTGCTGAAGATTATCAGAACCGATAGCTGATGAAAAATGCATTAATAATTACCACAAACATTTCGTTTTCTATTATCAAAAACCTTCTCTCTTTCCTTGCATTTTCTTCCTCTTGCTGTTTTACTGTCTCCTCCTCCTCCGTGTTTTCCTTCTCGCACCCGCAACATCTCTCCTCCCCTCTTTCTTTGTTTGTAATACCTCATCCAAGCCCTAGCCACGGAGTCAATTCTGATGCATGGTGACCCTAGACAGCATTTCTGAGACGCTAATTCTTCACAACCCAGCGCCTAACCCAACACCTAGCCCCCAGTGCCACCAGGCCCCTGCCTAATGTTGTTAGTGGCAGTCAGTTTGATTCTTTCGATTTGCCCATAGTGACTGCTACTAATATCAGTATCTCAGTTTCCATTGTATCATTTCCCCAGTTGGTTAAAAGAACTTTGGATAAAAGTAAGAGGCTCATGATCAGAATCAATCATGATGGAAATCTCTAGCAAACTAATAGGAATT